GTTTGTTTGTTCAGTACTGATGGAATACAGCTTTTTAAAGACACTGTTAAATTCTACTACATAATTTAAATGTGTCTTGTCCCAATGTTTTCATGTGATCTCAATTCCAACAATAAACGTACAAAGGTATGTGGCAACAGAATTATGAACAAACTCACGGTAAAACCAATGAGTAGTCTTACATTTCAATATCCCGCTGCAAATAAACAAACATGATTGTACAGCACCCTTTGTCTGAATCTGAAGGTGCTGAAGAGAGCATAGAGACAGCTGGCAGTAAATGGTAGTTTATTGATGGAAGGCATTTTATGGGTATTTTTTCCTTGGCCCTTATGTTTGCTTGTTTGTTGTGGTTGTGTTTGTGTCAACTAATCGCACTAATTAAACCTTTATTTTGTAAGCAAGAATGACACAGGCCTAATATACATCTGAATTTTAGCATACATTGTATTGCTTACTAGTGATACTGGTCTGAACATCAGCTGTGAGTTTGAGCATATTTACTTTAGTGTTGAGGTTAAATCTGAGCATTTCTATTTATTTCACAGTAGCCACCTGAAGCAGATTAAAGTTAAAATGTTTGCAGTAATATAGGCTATTTATTTGAATCTCAGGAGAAGGTGCCATTCTCTCTCCATAAACTTGATGGGTCTTGTGCGCCATTGTCTGACGCGATGTCAGGGGAAGTGTCCATTTCTTCCACGGTTTGCTACACAGCTCTCCGTCACTCGGTGTCTGTCGCACATTTTACACCGCGCATTAAGGTGAACACGCTGTTTCCCCTCTCTCTCCTCGCACCCACTCGAGTGCTCTAGGAACGAGCTTGTCGCTACAGTTGTCGATTCGTCCTCACTCCACGGAGCGTGAATCCTCAGCCGCCGCCACAGGCAGTACAGGTGAGTGACCGCTCATCTCTAGTCATTAGGCACAGTAATAGCCTCTTTACCACACTCTCACCACTGCGATAATATCTAATGGCATTTATTCAAGTGGAGCGACATCTTCTAAAGCTTCTACAGTGGAAGGTATCACAAAAACAGCTCGGCTGTAGTAACCTAACTTGTAGCCTAAATAAATGCATTTTAATAGGCTATGAGGTTGGTTTAATGAAAAATGAAAGTACAATAATGCTCGCATTGCTGTAGCCTTGGGTAGGTTATGTTGCAAAGTTGGAACAAATTTAGACAGAAACACACCTAGACTACAATTACTACTACAATTCTATGGAACAGGCTGAACCTGGAGCTTAGTGCCTGCCAGTAAACAGAAAACAGGTGTATTGAATATTGTAGTGTAATGCAGATGAAGCCATGTGATGGAGGATATCTGAATGATTCCAGGTTTGACTAATCTGCACATTTTATGGGACGATGAAGAACACAATTTGAACCAGAACAGGATCTGATTGCTGGTTGAGTGATGCTCCCTGCGGCCAAATTTTGGCAGAAATGACAGGAGTCCCCACAATGTTAAAGGTTTTATGCCATTATCAAAATGTATTACAATTTCATCAGCCAATTCTCAAAGATGTCTCTCCATGCACATTTTAGTTAGTTCTTACTTGTGTGTAGGTTCACTTTAATACAATCCTTACAAGTTAAGTGGAGACAGACAGCACAAGAGCTGGACTCTGGTTTGATTATAATACTGGCATCAAGCACAAACAGCTCTCAGTGGGGGAGAAACTGCCATGGTGAGTCATGTGCCTACTGGGCTTCACTCACTCATGTTAAAGAGCTTGCCATTTCAAAATGACATTGACATTCACTCATTTTATCAATAAACTCCTTATTCTTTGTATGGTACACATTATGTTTTCACTAGAACTCATCTAGGTAGGCTATAGACTGTGAGTGTCATTTACCCACTTAATGTACTCTGCCTAATGAAGAATCTCTGCACTTCATGAATATGACCTGTTGCATATAGGAACAGTGAACTGTTCCTGGAGCTTTGATGAAATGTCTTAGTTCAGCTGTAGAAGGCTTTGGAGCTTGCTTACTCTGCCCTCTAGTATATTGTACATGTACAAACATGCATGGAGCTACATTCATCTACAACTTTACTTTTCAAATCCATAACTTGGTGCAATACAAATCATGCAGACCTCCCACTGGAGTGGTCTGTGATATAGATAGTGATAAATAGTCATGTGTAATAACCGCTGTATCAGCAGTGTCTTTGTGTATTTGGAGCACATTCTGCAGCTCCCTAGAGTGCTGCAAATCAATAAATACAGCTTTCAGTCCAAATTGCAGTCTGTGCACAACCTTACAGGTCAAAAGCAAATCATTTTCCAGTTTGATTTTTATTTTTCACTTTCTACTTGCAGATAAAAATATGCAAAAATAGCACTCATGAAATGTGTTGTTCTCTCTTCTAAATTAAAAATGAAAAGTCTGTAGTTAAAAGCCCCAATATACAAACAACTTAAACTAAATTATATACATAAACAAAGTAATCAAACTGCTCAGCCTGATTTTACAACTCAGTGTTCTTACAACTCTTATCCCCAGACCACAGCAGCCTCACTGGTATAACATTATTAATTTAGAATAAAATGCCTAGAAAATTATTTTTTTCTTATTCTCAGCATTCTATAGAATGCCTGATATGTACAAGAATACACAAGAACCCACCAAAAGTTTTTATAAAAAGTTTTTTTTTTGGTGTTTTTTTTTTTCCTTATATAATTTTGAGGCCTCTGAATTTCTCACTTTGTGTAAAAAAAGATTTTGAATTATTTTTATTCTGAATTTTAGTTGCTGAAATTTTAAGTATACTTTTTCAATGTGTACAAATTCAAAACAAACTTTCATCTTTAATATATATAAGATGGTGTAAATAATTTTCTCTTCCGTATTACTTCCTCAATACGAGCTAGTTCAAGTTCTTGTGACAATAGACAAGAATTCCTCCAAAACCAAACCTTTGTGAAAGTTGTCAGTGTGCTGTCAGCTGAACACTGGCAGTTTGAATTCCCCAAAAAATGCATTGTGCTCTATGGGAGAATTTTTTTCTGAGCCCAAACCAGGGAGCTGCAGTAACAATGGAGCGGCCACTAGCGGGTTTCGCCCCAATGCTGTAAGGAACCAATCTCAGAATTAGCCTAATTAATACCTTTACTGTGTCCAAATGTCCACACAATTCATGACATTTTTAGGATTGTCTGAATGGCCAGCAGGTAAAAATGCAGTGGACTCAAAATTTCCCACAGTACACCTTGAAAATGGGCATTGGTAGTTATTAGACCAGTCAAAATAAACCACAGTGCATTGCAAGAAAACCAAATGGTTTAGCAACAGATCTTGGACATAACTCTTGTGAATGATGCAGATCGAAGCACTGGTTTATTGCACTGTTGTTCCTGATCATGAATAAAAAATATTGATTTAATTAAATAATTAAATAAACTGTTATTGTGTAAAGATGCTAGTGGTGTTAGCTTGAGCTGTTAAAAGATTACGATTTATCAGAGTACAGCAGACTTTATTTCACCTAGACCCCAGAGTCACATGACCCCAAAGTAGTGAGCTGTGTACTAAAGTGTGCAGGACTATGAAGTGAATAAGGGATTAGGAGCTACAGAGGACATTCAGACTCAGCCCTCATCTCTTTGATTCCTGCATCTTGGCTCCTTGCTGTGGATTTTGTCACTGCAAATTTTACACCAGAATTTTGTTGATTTTGAGGGCTTGAAAATAGCTGCACCAAATATTTAAAAGATGATTTTCTTTTTACATTGAAAGTTTAAATTAAGTACAATTCAGAATAATTACATTCAAATGTGTTTTTTATTGAACATGAGAAATTCAGTGGCATTTAAAATTCAAAATCTAATAAAGCAAATATCTTCCATAAACAAAAAACTTGTCAGAATAATGCCATTATTGACAATGACAATGACAATGACCTTTATTAAAGGCAAAATTAAGATTATTTTTGTAAAACATCCCCACACAGTAGCAGGTTGCCAGTGAAACGTGTTTAGTGAAGACTGCGGCTGTGTCCCAATTCGAGGGCTGCAGCCTCCGAAGGCTGTGAAGGCTGGGTCCTTCGTCGGCCGCGAAGGCTGCAGCCTTGAACTGGCCTCCGCGGACGCCAGGCCGTTGCGGAAATGGGACAGGCCTAGACCTCGGAGCCGCTCCCCTGTCGCCTAGCAACCGAGGGACGCTGCTAGCGCTAATGCTAATGCTAACACGCTGCGCGCAGATTACGCACACGGATCAGTAAAAAGACGCACAGGTCATCAAACTGTCGGATTTTGTGACCAAATTATTTTAATAATTCGCATCCAAATATTATGGCCAAAACCGAAAATGTATGTTTAACTTTTGCAAAACAAAACGGCTATATTTAAGGGACACATTTTAAATAGACTAAATTATCTTAAAATAAAAAAAAAAACTGTGATGAGATATGCATTACTAAACATTATTAAGGATTTTTATATTGACCAGGGATTACATTTATACAGTCAGTTTGTAAAGAAAGAAAGACATCTCTCCTGAGAAAAGATGATTTATTAAACAATCCAAGGAACTTCTGGAAATACTTTATCATAATATGAAGTCAAATATTAAACCCATTACACACACACACACACACACACACACACACACTCTGCATTAACAAGTTAGTACAAACAGCTGTATGTCAGTAAATCTCATTGTGTTCCCTTTTTGCTGAAGCAAGTGACAATCAAAAATGAACAAATTATCTTTGCCAGATATGGTCATGTGGAACACCACAGCTTATCTGCAGTACAATAGTACATTCTTATAGTACATGTAATTAGTTACTATCAAAAGAGACACCAAATAAATGGCACATTTCGCCATAAATCAAATGTCAGTACAGGCTGAAAACATTCAGAAACACTTATGAGCAGATGTTTTCATTTCTGTCTCACACACTTGTTCAGATCATATGAGACTCTGGACCTGCTCCTCAGAGACTCTGGACATGGACAGTGGAGACATGGACATGAGACATGGACATGGAGACATGGACAGTGGACTTGGACCACTCAGTGTGATGTGTCTCTCGTCTTCTGGAGGAGGAAGAGCAGAATGGTTGTTGCGTCTGATTGATTCAAAGTTCTGTCCTGTAGAGTGAAAACCTGTAATGACACACACATTAAGAACACAAAACTATTAGAGGAAAATAAGTTTCAAAGAGCATGCAGCCCCCAAAGAACACCTGGACTCCCTCCGCACTATTTACATTTATTATTATTTATTTATACGCAAGGGAGTGAGAAAAACTATTTCGATTCTTTATATGTTTTTCGTATGAAGAATTGACAATAAACTATTTTAACGTTGAACTTAAACTTTGATGTACATTCAGATTCAAAGGCAGTTTATATCTGAAACAGCTAAATTAATAGAGGAATCCCACACATTTGAGAAATGCATATTTTCACAATTTAAATAATAATTTCAACATGAGCATGATTCATTTGCAGCTCTTATTAGTACAATTTTCAATGTAACATGCCCCATACCTAATCGTTGGCAGGAGTCTGGGTCAGCACCTCCAGCTCAGTGTTGGCTTTACTTTGTCATCTGCATTTGACCCATTTTATGAATCACAAGCATCTTGTCAGCCAACAGTTCTGTGGCCCCTGCAGTGTGCCGTGTCCTCATACAGGAGGCTGCAGATGAGAAAAGAAAATTCATGTAAAACAGATTTCTCATTGTTATAACATTAGATGTGACAGACCTAACAGACACAGTCAGGTCGTATCTACACCAGGTCGTATCTACACCAGTGTCTGCACAAATCTGTTAAAGGAGCCTCATGTCAATCATAAATCTGACCTGTCCAGGCAGGATATTATATACTCTTCACTTTACAAACATGCACGGATTGTTAAAAGCAGATAATGTATTCCCTGAATGAAATGCACACGTTGGAGGCATATATTATGTGATTTACAAGTAAATATGAGCTTTGATAGAGTCAGACTGAGTCTTTTTCAGTTGAATGTATGAAATAATGTGTGTTTTCATCTTAACTCCGAGCTACACTGACCAACTGTTTACATGTTTACACTGTCCGTGAAAACGTGGAGTTTTCTCCTCGTAGCTTCTTTAAATCACTCTGTGAGCTTCTTTTCCCCTAACAGTAAAACATGATGAGTGTTTGATGGAAATGTGTCCAAATATGAAAGTTTGAGCGGACTTTTCATCGCATTAGCTGCACATTACTAGGCAAACTTTAGCTCAAAACTCCGCGGTTCACGCAGTTAAAAACAAACTTATTTGACAGTTTTGTGGGACTTATGGTCGTATTTTACGTTTACAGTTGTGTTAGTAATGATTTCCTAAAGTTAAAAGTGTTACTCACATGTTTTTCTCCGCTCTCGGGACCGGCTTTTTGCTCCGTGTTTTCGAAATCTGACTGCCGCCGCGCGGTGCATGCTGGGATACTGAAGGCTGCGAAGGATACTCGGATGTGTCCTCCGTTCGCGGCCCCATTTCCATGGAAACGAGGCCGGTTTTAGGGCTGCATTTGAAGGCTGCATGACATAAAAATGAAATGGGACAGGCCTTCTTTCACCGGAAGTGACGTATGCGCCTTAAAAACCAGCCTTCGGAGGCTGCAGCCCTCGAATTGGGACACAGCCTGCATCTTAAGAAACTTGACATCAAGAAGTGGGGATTAACATTACAAGCATCTAAATAATCTCTGGTAGACTTGGCTTCTTGTAGTCTTAGCCAGACTTGAGTTCTCTGTCCATTCAATGCAGAGGATCTTCTTCTGATACGCATGTTCTGTCCTGCACCAGTATTGCAACTCGAACAAAGTCAAGTGAACATTCCATTTGCATCAAATATGAAAACCACCCCAATCATCAGAAATTTCCTTCACTATGTTCTGGTGTCCTTGGCGTGTCCTCCGTTTCTTTCTTTTTGCCAGTGCTCAGTTCTCTTCTCTCACCTCCCATCCCCTCAGTGTTGTATTACTGCATGGAGTAATAGACAGTAAACTTCACTGAATGGACAAAGTGGCAAGGGAATTATGTAATACAGTGACTTAGTAGCACTGTCTGCCAATGCATCACTCATAAAAGGAAAAAGCAAACAGAGTCTGCTCCAGGACGAGCTCTCTCTGCTCTGCATGCCCAACTCCACCTGCAGGGGGAGCACCAACTTCCTACCCAGACCACAGTCTGAAAGTGCGGCTGGGGAAGAATGTCCCTGTCTGGCTGGTGACATGGTGCAATGACAACAACTGGAGATGATCATGGACTTCAAGAAAGTCACAGAGGACATGCTTGCTGCAGCAGCTGAGGAAAGCCAAGGTGCCTGTCCAAATGTGTGTTACACCGGGACCACTGCCAGGGACAGACACAGACTGCAGAGGATTGTGGGTCTTTTTGAAAAGGTGATCGCATCTTTCTAGGACCTGTACATCTCCAGGATGCGCAAGCAAACAGGCTGAATCACAACTGATCATTCTCAACCTGGATACAGACTATTTGAGCCACTTTCCTCAGGAACGCTCTGGTCCATTTGGATCAAAACCTCTCATTAAAAGAATAGTTTCTTCCCCTCTGACATAGGACTCATGAGAATTTTATAACACCTGTCCTCGTTACTGTACACAACTATAATCCATCCCCATGCACTGATGACTTTGGCGCTGTTGATCTGCCTTAGTTTATATTAGGTTTTTGTGTATCAAACTCTAATTTTATTTACATTATTTCAATGCATGGTCTTATTTTTATTTAGTTTATATTAAACATATAAACTTTAATTTGGAAACAACAAAATTGTCCAATGTGCAGCAAAATATAATATACCGATGAATTAATTGTGCAGGATTTCTTATATATATCTGATATATTTATTTTCATGCCAATTTCCCCCCAAAAAACTAGTTTATACTAAAATAAAATATCCAAAATCCCCCCTTGCTCTTTTTTTGTATCTAGTGTATGTCAGCAGCAGCATGATTGTGTGTTTGTGTGTATGTGTTCAGGTTACACAAATGTTACTCTAAATATGGACCCAAAACAGTCCAAAACAGCCGTAATGTTGAGCAGACAGAGGGCCTTTTGTATTAAGAGTTCTAGCCCATCGTCCAAGTTCTCCCATCGACTCTTGAGCCCACCCACTTTCGGTTGACATGTGTTTGAAACATAAAACAAATTACAAACTAAAAATATTGAAAACCTCTACTGTGTGAATTTGTAAAACTACTATGAAAAAGAGTCCATACTAGATCAAAATATGAATGAGTATCATAGCACAAAGACAGCACCAGGATTGGGTCAAAACATATATCATTGGAGGCACACAAAAATGCACTACTGATTGTATCTGTATGAGAGCTCTCAGGCTCTGTGGAAATGTAGGTCACTTATGGTTGCAATTTGCAAGCAATTTCATCTAGCATAGCATTTGTATTGGATTTAAAGAGGCGAGATGGCAAATGGAAAACTACTGCAGATGAAGAAGCTTGTAATAAAGCGCACAATAAAAGCAAGAATACAACACTACAACAAATCAGTACACAAAGGCTAGTAGACAAGTGTACAAAACATCTGCATATGATAATGCACTTTGCATAAAAGCAAGGAAAAGCTTTGAAAATATTTTAGATTTTAAAGGGGATTTCATTCATTTTGGAGATTCATACTGGTATGGAAGCATTGTTTGATGAAAATGAAACACGTCACCCGCAGATGACAAAAATACCCCACATAAACTCAAAATGGTGCTCATTGGTTTGTATTGTTATATAATGCAGAGGCATCCTCCTTATGGGACAATGTGTGCTGTCAGCACAGATGAATGCTGCCGTTGTGTCCTTGGGCAAGACCCTTAACCACCCATACTTCCAGTGTCTAAGTACATTGGTGTATGAATGTGTGTGTGTAAATGGATAATGTAAAGCACCTTGGAGGTGGAAAAGCGCTAATAAAAATGTGACAGTTTTTCATTTACTATTTATTTGACTATCACAGTCCTTGTCCATAGGGGTCTGCAACCCTTCGAATAAACTGGCAGGCAGCATAATGATCTCCGCAGCTTCTGGAGACCTTTACAACTTTGTTATTTGGGTTCAGAATGAACCTGCTCTGATCTGCAAAAGACACAGTGCCCAGTAAAGATGACAATTTTGTGTTTTATGCCAAATGGAAATGGAGCTCCACAAGGCAGGACAGTGAGCATCCACATGAAGTCTATTTCTAATGGGTTGGTCAAATACACTCACCAGTGGTCACCTTGAGTTATTTTTGTATGTCTCTGGCAGTTCTCCCTTTACTCTTCTGTGCACAAGGAGCAGATAGCATCCTGATGATGAGTTGTTGGTTAGACAGTGCCACCTTGACAGGATCCGATTATCACCTCATGTAGCCAGTATGTTACAGAGCTTGCCGTACTGCAAAACTAAAGGAAATCGTAAAACTGAAAAAAAGGAGGGGACAATCAGCAGTCTGTTTTGATTGTTGTTTCGCTGTTGCTTATAGTTCACCTGTTGTTTATTTTTATCACTGAACTAAACTCAGACTCCACTTATGTAGTTGCAGATTGTTACCTGGAAATTATATCATTCCAGATTTGCCAGACAACTTAAGTGGTGCTTTCTTATTTCTTGTGAACAATACATTTTTAAACACCTACCACTAAATAATATGTACCAAAAAATTACACAATTGGAAAAAAATAAATACAACAATAAATGTTGGAATGTATTAAATTAAATGGTGAATAAAGATAAATGTAGATAAATAAATTCATTTCCACATTAACCCATTTGAAGATTACAAAGATAAAATATGCTTATTAACACATTTCTGGATTAATTACATTTTTATATTTATTTATCATTCATTAATTCATTTGTACATGTATTTATTTAGACATTTGTTTATTTTCACTTTTATTTATTTACAAGCATTTGTACACCTTGCAGCATTATTATGTGGCTGTAATACTATATATATTTGTCAGTTCTGTGAATCTCCATTTGTCTTGTCAAATCTGACTAAGACCAGGATCTGCACAGCATTAGACAGAGCTCTTGAACACATCAAAATACAATTTTCTTTCTTTCTTTTTTTTTTTTTTACCAGGTTGGAACACAGTTGGATATTGGATGGCCCATTATGATGCAATGTTTGCGGCAGAAGCCCTGCGAGGTATACTGAATGATTTGGAGGGTTAAGAGTAATATACATTTAAATGAAAAAATCTACTAAAATACAGTATGTACTTCATTACCATATGCTGTTAAATATTATGTAAGAAACTGTAAGGCATACAGAGAGCCTGCCTTAGTCATTGTCTATATTTAAAACTATTGAAATGCAGCTCATTTACAAATCATAAACAGATGCATGTCTTTAGGTTTCAATTTTGAAAAGCACCATATTAAACATATGCAATTATTCTCCGCTAACACATAACATTAAAATATGTATTTATAAAGATACATATATAATTAAATAGTATAATTAAGTCTTTTCTTTTCTTTTTTTTTTTTTTTCTTCTTTTACTGTTGCTTCCAAGCAGCACAGATGAAAGTGAATTAACAATGCTTGACCATAAGTAGT